CAAGTCCTTTGAGAATAGGTAAATTTCTTTTCGATACTGTTCCCTGTTTTACCATATGATCCTTGTGGTTCATCGATCAAACGTACATAACGGAACAGGAGATGCTTTGACTATGGGCCTAAGCCCCATTACTGTTCAGTACTCTAAGATATTCATCTAAAGTTCCCAGGAACACAATAACGTTATTATAATGAGTGGTATATGAATGATTGGACAAAATCTTCCAGAAGCACATGACCGGCTTCGTGATCCTTGTCCCTCGTCAGGTTTGCGTATCTCGTAATCTTCTGTTTGATCATTCTTATACGTGAACTCCCGATATGAGTTAGGCAGCTTGGGGAGTGGATTTGACATGAACAAGTTTCGAAGAACCTGTGGTGATCTAAATTTACATGACCACATTCCTAGTTTGACCAGATACAACTTCATGTCATACAAACAAAGTTCAGGAAGCTGGATCAATGGTGTGATGCGTCTGCGCAAACGGTTACGGGATTGGACTATAGTCCTTCAATCAATGATAGGGGTCGATTGCTTCCTATGAAACATGCTATCATTTTATCAGTAAATATTGGCACTTGCTGTTACCAATTCTACGTGCATTTCATTGGTGTCCGCAGTTCGGGTTGGAGTATTACAGTACAGTTTCGCGTATTTCTACATTCACTACTATTCCGATTACCAAAATTGGGCGTCGCGAAATGGAGATTCTTGCCATTGAACAACTGAACCTCCACAGAAGCCCATCGGAAATCGAAGAATGGATGGAACGTTTCCAACTATGGTGCAGCACCCGGAAAGAAGGAATGCAAAACCAATCGGTCCTATTTTTGACGTTGGGAGGCCGAGAGCTGTATTACCTAGTGAAAAATTTAGCGTTCCCGAATGTTCTTGCCTTCTTGCCACTTGAGAACTTAAAATCACTATTGCTGGACCACATTCTTCCAGTTGATTTTCAGAGCAAATTTTGGGCCAAATTTAACTGTATGATCAGAGCTGCCAACACTCCGTGCCGTGAATTCATCCTCCAAACAGGCTTCATAATTCAACTACGGAGAGATCGATTGGAAGAAATAGTATATGATCGTCTGATTACTGGAATCAATAACATCTCATTACAACGTGATATGTTGGAAGAGAAAGACACCACGTTTGCTGAGGCTCAAAACATCTGTGAGTAATGTGATGAGTTGTGTGCAGCCACAAATGCGGACACTACTGTGTTAGTCCATCGTCAATCAACCAAACCATTACGTGTTGCACACAGTGTTTATAATATACTTCCAATTTCTCAAATATCCATTTCAAGCCAAACACAAACGAAGGCTGCGGTCAACCGCTGCTTTTTATGTGGTGAATACCGTCTTCGTTGGACCTGTCGGTTCTGTAATGCCACTTGCCATGCGTGCGGTAAAATGGACCATATCTGCAAGGTGTGCCCAATGCCTAATTGCAACCTCGTTCATTTAGATGAGTATTCAAGCCCAATCCGCACGCTGCAAATTACTGAAATCAACAACCAGTTCGTGTTCGTCCCATAGAGTTTCGAGTTCGGTGTGGAACATCAATTCATCATGGACGCAGGAAACAGTGAATCTGTCCAACCGAAATCAGCACTCACTGCGATTTGTCCCAATGCTGTTCTAGCCCCGACTTCATTGCGCATTCATGGGGTTACTGGTCATCAGTTGCAATTACTTGGCGAAACGATGTTATGCGTTCAATCTGAATCCGGTGTGTCAATCCGGATTTGGTTCCTGATATCATTTCACAGTCTGTCCTTTCTGGGTGTGCGAGCAATGCGGCTACTACAAGGGTCAATCACACTACATACGAATAGCGTTTGGCCAATCACCTCACATATTCAACATTTGAGTGTACAATGTTCCCGTACCATTGGATGACAAGAAGCTACACCCAGTCGTACTTGGAATGCGGTCACATATATCTGGATCACCGCAGAACCATTGCGATGGTCCTGTATCGTATGCTTCCGGGAAATGTTTTCCAGTCATTCATGTACTAATCATAATAAAAACACTGAAAATTGGCCCTAGCGTCGAGTTTGCTGCGGCTGGACACATCTAACTCACAACGTCTTATACGAAATCATCGTAATAACTCTTTGCGACTCGTTTGTTTCAAATCCACTCCCGACCTGCAAATGAGATTTGCATTGCATAACAATAACATTACTCTGCAACTGATAACGCTCAAGCAATAAACCAACCACACAGTAAGCGTTTCAGTCACAATCAATCGCTTTCTTCAAGTCTAACAGCTTGCTAAGAATAAATAGTTACGAGAAACAAGTCTAGTGATTTTAACCCTAGTCGGAGATAAATAAATGGTAATACTGGTTTCGTGCTCTGCTTCAATTAACGGCTTTATATTCGCCAAATGATTTTTCCGAGTGCATGTGATGATCCTAGTCTACGGGATAACGCCAGCCGCGGATCGACGCGTTAGAGCTTCTGGACAAGTAATCCCAGGCCTATCGTACCGATCAATCAGAAGTCGTGCGGTTCGGACAGAAGCTGTATGACATCAAAAATAGGAGCACGCAATTGGTTGATACCTGGAGAACCAATAAACTTTCATACGTGTTGTTTAATCCCCAGATTTGTTTCAATAAAGGAATCGGTACTTATGTAGCCTTTTGCTTGCATCGCGGTTGTTTCCGTTGTATCCGTGACTTCCGATTCCTGATTTGTGGCTCGTAATTTGTAATTCGTGGTCAGTGCCTACTACAACTACTACAGTGCAAATGGTAGCATCACGGCTCCGAAGTCAGGGCAAGCACAAACAAGCTCACACGGGCGCAGACAGATGGACAGAGAAAGATGCGGACATAGCTTCGAAAATCCCCACAAACAGAGCAGACTCTCACTTACCGGGTTCAACCAATTCAATACGGATTCGTGTTTCAACCCCAATCAGAGTGCCTGGAGCAGTGAATTTCATCAGTAACTCGGTCATTTGTTTGATCATTCGATCCATACTACCCATTATTCGGATGCTGTCGGCCAAAATTGTAGCTTTGATGTGACAATAGAATCGATCGATCTTGTGTGTACATCGTAAAGAGAATTGATTTGCATGTCGAGGAAATGCGATGTTCATCAAAAGAAAAACGGAATCCATCTTCAAAATAACAACAATTGTAGGGAGGGGGGGGATGATTGACACGGAAAGATGGGTGTGTGGGTAGGTGTAAAACAAATGTGGAAAACACACGTTAGGAGAAGTTTGCATAGATTGAAGGTACATAGTGAATTCTATTTTTATGACTAGAAGATGAGGGATAATAAATCTAACAGTCGGTTAACCGGTTTGAACTTGTCAGCTAGTCTCAGATAGTAGATCAAGTAAAAAGCATCACTTGAGCCACCATAGAAGCCTGATAACCAAGTACTGAAACCATACAGAAGCAAGCACGAGTTCTTATTCCCCATTGACGATTCCTTACAAGGCTCATACAGGTGCGCAGTGGTTTCAACACATCTAACTAACATGTGTCACACTGACGTTATACGATGAGTTCGTATTTGTTAAGGACCAATATTATTAGGTTTCAGAGTAAAATACAGAATAGAAAACGCAATATTCTTTTACAGTACTCATCAGCAATTAGGGTTAGTGTGAGACGAATGGAAAACTGTTTTGCACTGATACCCCATACGCATCGTTCAGTTCGAGAACCGATAAGCCACCAACGGGAATCGGCTAGGTAGGTAAGGTCAAGTAAACAGTGATCTGGAGGTCACGTGCTCGATTAGCGTCACCGCTATCCATTTTTGACATTTCAGATTAGCATTTAATTAGTCTTAGCAGAACGAAAATCGGCTGTGGAATTTTCTCATACTTTGTAGCGTTGACTGACTTTGTTTGGCCCATTCCGGTTTACATCATGTCTTATGCAGTGGAAAACGATACTGGCAATCAAGTAATATATCTGGGGCAGAGATAATGTTTCCGTGACTAGACAGATAAATTTAATGGGTGGTACTGGTGACCACCAGTGTCTCCCAGCAAAGTATTGCAGTACAGTGAATGTCTTTTTTCTTCTTTATTCAGCCATTCTGGAAATAAACACATCACCTCAGCTGGTGACGAAACGTTTGCAAACAAATTGCCAAGCTCGGCGAACAGGCAAAATGGAAGTTGGATGGCTGATTTAATATGAAAAGAACAATGCTATTGGTGTGGCCTCGCAGCTCAGCTGGTAGAGCGTGAATCGTACAAAACATAGGTGTACATGCTTCGGTTCGAGTCCCACTGAGATTACTGAACTTTTCACAATTCCAATACAAAACTTCAAGCTGAACAATTTGAATATACTAGTATTTTCGTTTTTTCCCGTTTTTGTTTCACAACAGTAGGCGCTATATGCTATATTGCTTACGGCTTCATAATTATACAGTTATGTACAAAACGATCAGTGAAAGGACATCACCTGCTGGGATGTGAAGTCATTACGAATTTCTGAGGATAAATCAACTGACGAACTTGCCACTCAACAATATGCACACAAATAGCAAAGTTTCTTCACGGACTGTACTTTTGAAAGATTGTAAAATACATAGTTATCATATAAGGGGTTGATTCGTTTACCTGTTTACTGAGAGCGGTGATTAGTTCTGGTTCTGGTGTTTCTTTATATTTCCACTCCAATTCGTTACCGGTGGATGGAAGAGATCGAACGGGTCCAACTATATCTAGATCTGTTCATACAATAGAAAAGATGAGGGGGGACTACAAATAAAATTCGCACAACAATTCAGGTAGGGCTTCTTCAATGAGCAATGTACAGGTAAATAGAACTCAGGTATTAAAGAAATTCAAGGATATAAAACCGGTCAAGAATCTGGAAGCTTGGTTGGCGAAAGCCCTTGCCTTCCTGTGATGCCTGACCTGACCTGACATAGTACATACGATTAGTGAAAACGGATGACATAGAATTAGTCATCAGTGGGCTATCCGTTTTGGCTCTAAGCTTTTAGTTCCCGCATGTGATGCTGTTTTGCAATGTGTGTTTGATGTTTATACTGAAAGTAGAATCATCTCTTCATTCAAATACTATTTTGCTTAAGATTTTGATTTGGTATAGATTCTATATCCGGGGCAAACACAAAATGAACTCACAGAACCGGATCATGACAGTTACGAACTTACTGGCATAATCTGCTTCGTCCAAGCTTACTTCCGTTTCGGCTGGCTCTATAATCGAACAGAAAGTGGAATTTCTTGTGATTGCCTAACGGGTCAAATTCTGAACGGGTTGGAGGCATCTTTTTCGAGGTATAGTAAACAATTTATTCTTGATTGGGGTAAGAAAGAACAGAATTAAATGCAATGGAATGAATGAGGAGTCACGTTTTTAATCCGTATCGCCGTTTGCGGAGAGATAAAACCACAAATATGTAACTAACATCAACCAGAAAAAGAAAAAAACAGTACCCTGTTATTTCAGCCGTAAACGAACAACGGCATTCCCGATCCTGTTGAACAGAGCCCATCCACTATCGGAATAGATGAATCACCATTGATTGTAACCAAACAGAACACCGCGATGATCGATAAGAAGTATGTTTTGGTGAAATTGGATTAGAATCACTCGGCGGCATATCTTTTACCTCTGAAAGACAGCTGCATGACTTTATTCGGCAAATATTGCATTTGATTAACCAGTTTGAGTAACTAAATTCAACTCCACGAAGAGATTAGAGTTAATCATGGGAATCAAATGTTTAATCCAAGATCGTTTTCTCTTCTGGTAAGAAGTTATGCGAAGCAGAAGACTATATCAGTTGCACACAGAAATGTACTTACTTAAGAATAAAAAATGATGGGCTCAGAAAGTAGACGTGAGTGAACGTTATCTCTTCATCTTTTGGTGAACATTCTCGGGAAAAATCGATCAGAATAGAAAACAGTTATTGAGATGATAGAAAACGCCGAACTAAGTGTAATTAATGCCAGTTACAACAACAACAACAACTCGCACGCGTATCGGTCAGAGTATGGTGTAGAGAGCTCTCTAGTTGGTTGGTTACACTGTATCAGCCATGGCAAAGTCATACTAGTTAACAATGCTACCTGTTTATAGAGGTTTCGTTTGTGACAGAAAATTGCCACGACCTCTGAAAACTAGCAAAAGGGCGGTTTTGTTTGCTACATTGTAACCAGGAAAGCTTGATATTAGTTTAATTGTTCTATTTTACTAAATCTGTTGCCCAAGGCCCCATCCACTTTTCCGTGCTTGACAACAGACTTTCTGGGCACTTGTTTCAGCTCACACTCCAAACTTGATTTCAACAAGACAAAGTACACATGCGGAATATGGGAAAAGCACAAATGCCCATACACGAATTGTCAGTATAAAGTGCCCGAATTCTCACATTTTTATGAGAGTTATGTGTCCATGTGATTGCGTAACACTGAGAGGAGGCTGGGGAAAAGCTAGATGGATTTAGGATGGGAGAGATCAGCTAGGCAGGTCAAGAACAAAAACCTCAATTCTGAAAAGAAAATGCGTTGAGTTTTGGTCAGGGATAAAGTATGCAACCACTATACCTTTTCCCATCAAGTTTGAGCCAAAACCCACAATCCCTTGACCTCAACCCACAATCTGTCGGTTTTGACCCACATCCCTATATCCAAAACCCTGCAATGCTTTGTCCACGACCGGTACTCCTTTAGCTTCGACGTACAAACTTTAGTCAGGCCACAATCGGCGAGTAAGATCAAAAAGTAGCGGAGTATTCTGCAGTCAATGGATATTGAAAAAAATGATTTTCTATAAATGTTGATATAGCAAAGCTTGGTTAAGAAATAAGAAAGTGTGGGGTTCNCGCACGCTGCAGCACATGTTGACTGGAGAATATTCCCCTATCGTCAAACCATTTGGCACATCTCTGACAGGTTCAATGTTTCAGTGTAACGTGCGATACTCCCGTGGATGAAAATCTCAAGTGTAACACTATTGGTACATCGTTTTGCATTCACAAGTAAACTCTGTTCATCAGAAGTGGATGCATAAACGTGCTGAGGACAATAAACACCGTTCACAAAAGTACAGCAGTAACGTTTGATATCATTACCGAGGAAGAGACTTAGGAATTACAGATTTTGTCTGAAATTTGGTGGGAAATGGTGTGACAAAGGGGGTGTTTATTATCCTCGGACTTTAGTGTATCCACATCCACATTCACAATTCAGTTGGAGATACGGAACATTAGGCACTTACGTTTTGCAAAATCATTTTCGGATTCTTGTCAGGGTTTGCGAATGCAAATTAATGTACTGTTTCTGTTGAATTTGAGACTTTTACTCACAGAAGTATCGTATGTTATACGGGAACACTGAAACTTTACTGTAAATTGGTTTGACGATAAGGGCACATCGTTTAAACCATCTCCAATCAACAAGTGGTGCAGCGTGCGACCCTTATACCTTCTTATTTCTTAACCAAGATTCGCAACCTCAACATTTGTAGAAGATACATTTTTTCAACCTCCGTTGACATCAGAGTATTCCGATACTTTTTGATGTGACGTATTCACAACGGTGTGACTAAAGTTGGTGCGTAGAAGCTAAAGGACTAGGGATCGTGGCTAAATCATTGTGGGTTTTCGCTAAAGGATTGTGGGTGGAGGCTAAAGCTCGATGCAAAAAGGTATGGTGACAAGTTCGAATGAGAACAAAACAGCTGTCAAACGGTCATTCTTCGTCCAGTGCAGTATAAGATGCTCAAGTTAATGGGAATCAACTGACCGAACAAGGGGAGAATTTGTAACATGCAGCATAAGGCCCAGAATTTTTCGATACTGTATGGAAGTAGTGAGAATACCTTCTTTGATGCAGTATCCCGTAGACAGATAGATGCTTTTCATCAGATAAGTTTTACTTCTGATCGACACCGTTTCGCTTTGAAGATGGAGTGTTCAAAAACATTCACCACAGCCTTATTTTCCTATTTCGTTGCACACAAACAACAGTACTTCGACTGGGCTCTTGGTCCATGTGTTAAATAAAATGGAATGTAAGAATAACGGTAAATCATGCCCAAATTTGATTTTACGCGCTAAATAAAACATGACAAATTATCCGCATTGTAGGCAGCACATACCTGGTGGTACAGGTTGGGGTCTTTTAGGTTCCTCGCCTGAAAGAAGCAAATTGGTAGATAAGTGGTTTCCACCGTAGAATCACATTAAACAAAGTTTTCATACAGTAGTATATGAATGACTGAACAGAATTTACGATTTAGCAGTCGTTGACGCATATTGGCTAAAGCTTATTCCGTCATCCCGCTGTGAACTGAGCAACGCGAACTTCGTTCGCATCGCCGGCAATGAATTCGGGACAAGTCCATCTCGGGAAATTTTGTCCGCTTATGACAGAAAAACACCGAATATCAACCGTGGTTTGGTATTTGCTGAGGTCAAATGCGTCTAACCCACAAAAACTGACGCAAAGCATTAGTGGTTAGTTTGTCTCCAATTAACTCCGTGAGATACAAAACAAAGTTTTAGGTGCCTAAACCATGTTCCACTGAAACAAAAACACGTACACCATACTTGGAGTGCAAAGCATGATGGGGATGGCCGTAGATAACTCCGCTATTACCCGCACAATACCACGTCGTTTGTAGTTCGACCTTATATGTTTCGTCACTCCTGGTCCCACAGCTAAATTTTTCAGTTTATCAAGAACAAGTGTGCACCGATTTCCGCACGATACGGTAGACTTTTACACGCTCACACTCACATTCACATGCGCTCCCAGCTTTCTTTCCCAGATATTCGTGGCGATAATTGTAACATTGACTCTGAGCATCTTTCCCCTGAATTTGCTTTCCCTATGCATTATTCTCCTTTCAGAAACTCATTTATATCCTGTAGTAGATGTCGTACAGATTCTGTTTCCTCCCAGTGTTGTGAGTAGTTCGCAAAATTATGTCATTGGTGGTTCCTTTTAACTGACAAAAGTGAACAAGACTCGTTGGAGTGAATTGCTGCCTTTAAATATGGTAACTACAAGAATGTACATCTACTGGTGGACCGTTCCATTGACTATCCTGTGTAAGTCTGGGAATTCTGAAGGGTCGTTCCATATACGATAATTGGTTTTATGCATGCCATTTTAATGCTGTTTTAGTCATAATACACAACTATCCTCTTCCGGACACCGCCTTGTGGATGAATAACAACGGTATCTTTCCTATTCCAACTAGTGTGTGTGTGTGCGTGTGTGTGCATCTGGTGGTCATCCAACGCCAACAACCATCTATGTGATCTAGATATCTGCACAGGCTCATCGATGTTTCCAAGTAATTTGCCGGATCGAATCTATACAAGGAAAGCTCTAACTGTTAAAAATGGACATCAAAATCGCATGCTAACTAATCGATAGTTTGGAATATGGAGAGACAATTTGGATTCAATTCAACTGTTGAGCGATGATCAGCCAATTCGAAAAAATTGGCACTGACGTGCATCGGTCTGCAACGTTCCTCGTTTCACGACTCTGTTGCATCCCATACCCTATTGAGGCTTTAGGCATGCTTCTTTACTGTCAGTTAAAGAGCACAGGCTATGAGTTTTGCCCACGGTTAGGTTGATCATATTGATTATCGGTTTCAAGTGTGTTGCTCTGATAGAAATTGTGTTGAAAAAGTAGTAAAAATCAGTTCTCCTAGCTCGGGTGAGCTGAATTCCATTTGGTATGTTCTCCCAGTTTGGAAATTTGTTTGAAAATGTTTCATCACCAGTCGAGGTGACATCATCAGTGCTTGTGAATTGTTAGTGTTCCGCTTGTACTCGTTCATTTAAATATGTAGTCTTCTCCACCGGATATTTTTCATCCTATGTGGTGTGTGTGTGTGTGTGTGTGGAGTTGTTCTTCCGTTTGGGTTGCGGTTTTTGTCTTCGCAGGTTATGACGTGATCTTTTGTTGCGTCATGTGGTCCTTGAGTAGCTTTGGCGTGTACAGGTGATCTGAGATAGAACAAAAAATCGTAACCAAGACGACAGAAGAGTCCCCCCTCCCACCTTCAGCCCCTCTAACCAGTTCAACGATGAACCAGGTTGAACACAGTGAGAACAGGTGATAAAAATAGTCGATGGAGGAGAACATTTAAACGAACTAGTACAAGTGGATCACTGCCATCTCACAAGCACTGACGACGTCACCTCGGCTAGTGATGAAACGCTTGCAAACAAACTGCCGAATTCGGCCAACAGATGGAATAGAAAATCTGTGTGCATTTAAATTAGAATTTCAGTCG